ATACGAGAACTTCGCGAAGCATGCACAAGTTTCAATAGCCGAATTGACCAAGCAGAAGAAAGAATATCTGAAGTCGAAGACCAACTCAATGAAATAAAACGAGAAACCAAGATTAGAGAAAAAAGCGCAAAAAGGAATGAGCAAAGTCTCCAAGAAATGTGGGACTATGTGAAAAGACCTAACCTACGTTTGATAGGTGTACCAGAAGGGGACGAAGAGAATGAATCCAAGCTGGAAAATACTCTTCAGGACATCATCCAGGAAAATTTCCCCCACCTAGCAAGACAGGCCAACACTCAATTGCAGGAAATACAGAGAACACCACAAAGATATTCTGCAAGAAGAGCAACCCCAAGGCACATAATCGTCAGATTCAACAAGGTTGAAATAAAGGAGAAAATACTAAGGGCAGCCAGAGAGAAAGGTCGAGTTACCCACAAAGGGAAGCCCATCAGACTCACAGCAGATCTCTCGGCAGAAACACTACAAGCCAGAAGAGAGTGGGGGCCAATATTCAACATTCTTAAAGAAAAGAACTTTCAACCCAGAATTTCATATCCAGCCAAACTGAGCTTCAGAAGTGAAGGAAAAATAAAATCCTTTGTGAACAAGCAAGTACTCAGAGATTTTGTCACCACCAGGCCTGCTTTACAAGAGCTCCTAAAAGAGGCACTACACATAGAAAGGAACAACCAGTACCAGCCATTCCAAAATCACACTAAATGCTAAAGAGCATCAACATAATGAAGAATCTACAACAACTAACAGGCAAAACAGCCACTTAGCATCAAAATGGCAGTATCAAATTCACACATAACAATATTAACCCTAAATGTAAATGGACTAAATGCACCAATCAAAAGACACAGACTGGCAAATTGGATAAAAATCCAAAACCCATCAGTGTGCTGTATCCAGGAAACCCATCTCACTTGCAAGGATACACAAAGGCTCAAAATAAAGGGATGGAGGAAGATTTACCAAGCAAATGGAGAGCAAAAAAAAAGCAGGAGTTGCAATTCTCATCTCTGATAAAATAGACTTTAAAGCAACAAAGATCAAAAGAGACAAAGAAAGGCATTACATACTGGTAAAAGGATCGATAAAACAAGAAGAGCTAACGATCCTAAACATATATGGACCCAATGCAGGAGCAACCAGATACATAAGGCAAGTTCTTAATGACTTATGAAGAGACTTAGACTCCCACACAATAATAGTGGGAGACGTTAACACTCCACTGTCAATATTAGACAGATCAACCAGACAGAAAATAAACAAGGATATCCAGGGCTTGAACTCAGACCTGGAGCAAGCAAACCTGATAGACATTTACAGAACTCTCCACCCCAAATCCACAGAATATACATTCTTCTCAGCACCACATCACACCTACTCAAAAATTGACCACATAATTGGAAGTAAAGCACTGCTCAACAAATGCAAAACAACTGAAATCATAACAGCCTCTCAGACCATAGTGCAATCAAGTTAGAACTCCGAATACAGAAACCAACCCAGAACCGCACAGCTTCATGGAAACCGAACAACTGGCTCTTGAATGTTGACTGGGTAAACAATGAGATGAAGTCAGAAATAAAGAAGTTCTTCGAAACCAATGAGAACAAAGACACAACATGCCAGAACCTCTGGGACACATTTAAAGCAGTCTCTAGAGGAAAGTATATAGCAATAAGTGCCCATATGAGGAGAATGGAGAGATCCAAAATTGACACCCTATCGTCAAAATTGAAAGAGCTAGAGGAGCAAGATCAAAAAAACTCAAAACCCAGCAGAAGACAAGAAATAACTAAGATCAGAGCTGAACTGAAGGAGATTGAGATACGAAAAACCCTTCAAAAAATCAATAAATCCAAGAGCTGATTTTATGAAAAGATCAACAAAATAGACCACTAGCCAGATTGATTAAAAAGAAAAGAGAGAACAACCAAATAGATGCAATAAAAAATGATAAAGGGGAAATCACCACAGATTCCACAGAAATTCAAACCATCATCAGAGAATATTACAAACAACTCTATGCACATAAACTAGTAAACCTGGAAGAAATGGGTAAATTCCTGGACTCCTGTGTCCTCCCAAGCCTAAACCAGGAGGAAGCTGAAACTATGAATAGACCAATAACAAGGTCAGAAGTCGAGGCAGCAATTAAGAGCCTACCACACAAAAAAAGCCCAGGTCCAGATGGGTTCACAGCCAAATTCTACCAGACACACAAAGAGGAGCTGGTACCATTCCTTCTAAAACTATTTCAAACAATCCAAAAAGAGGGAATACTTCCCAAATCATTTTACGAGACAAACATCATCCTGATACCAAAACCCGGCAGAGACCCAACAAGAAAAGAAAACTTCAGGCCAATATCCATGATGAACATAGATGCAAAAATCTTCAATAAAATATTGGCAAGCTGAATGCAACAGCCAATCAAAAAACTTATTCACCATGATCAAGTAGGATTCATCCCGGGGATGCAAGGCTGGTTCAACATACACAAGTCTATAAACGTAATTCACCACATAAACAGAACCAAAAACAAAAACCACATAAATATCTCAATTGACGCAGAGAAGGCATTTGACAGCCCTTTATGCTAAAAACCCTCAATAAACTCGGTATTGATGGAACGTATCTCAAAGTAATAAAAGCTATTTATGACAAACCAATAGCCAATATCATACTGAATGGGCAAAAACTGGAAGCATTCCCTTTGAAATCCGGCACTAGACAAGGATGCCCTCTTTCACCACTCCTATTCAATATAGTTCTGGAAGTTCTAGCCAGAGCAATCAGGCAAGAAAAAGAAATAAAAGGGTATTCAAATAGGAAAGGTGGAAGCCAAATTGTCTCTATTTGCAGACGACATGATAGTATACCTAGAAGACCCCATTGCCTCAGCCCAAAAACTCCTGAAACTGATAAGCAACTTCAGCAAAGTCTCAGGATATAAAATCAATGTGCAAAAATCACAAGCATTCGTCTACACCAATAACAGACTTAAAGAAAGCCAAATCAAGAATGAACTGCCATTCACAATTGCTACAAAAAGAATAAAATACCTTGGAATACAACTCACAAGGAACGTAAGGGACCTCTTCAAGGAGAGCTACAAACCACTGCTCAACGAAATCAGAGAGGACACAAACAGATGGAGAAGCATTCCATGTTCATGGTTAGGAAGAATTAACATCGTGAAAATGGCTATACTGCCCAAAGTAATTTACAGAATCAACGCTATCCCCATCAAGCTACCATTGACTTTCTTCACAGAACTGGAAAAAACCACCATGAACTTCATATGGAACCAAAAGAGAGCCCGCATAGCCAAGTCAATTCTAAGCAAAAAGAACACAGCGGGGGGCATCACACTACCGGATTTCAAACTATACTACAAGGCTACAGTAGTCAAAACAGCATGGTACTGATACCAAAACAGAGATATAGACCAATGGAACAAAACAGAGGCACCGGAGGCAACACAACATATCTACAACTATACAATCTTTGATAAACCTGACAAAAACAAGCAAGGGGGAAAGGATTCCCTGTTTAACAAATGGTGTTGGGAAAACTGGCTAGCCATGTGCAGAAAGCAGAAACTGGACCCCTTCCTGACACCTTACACTAAAATTAACTCCAGATGGATTAAAGACTTAAACATAAGACCTGGCACCATAAAAACCCAGAAGGAAATCTAGGCAAAACTATCCAGGACATAGGAGTAGGCAAGGACTTTATGAACAAAACACCAAAAGCATTGGCAACAAAAGCCAAAATAGACAAATGGGACCTAATGAAACTCCACAGCTTCTGCACGGCAAAAGAAACAGTCACTAGAGTGGATCCGCAACCAACAGAATGGGAAAAAATTTTCGCAGTCTACCCATCTGACAAAGGCCTGATATCCAGAATTTACAAAGAACTCAAACGGATTTACAGGAAAAAAACAAACAAGCCCATTCAAAATTGGGCAAAGGATATGAACAGACACTTTACGAAAGAAGACATATATGAGGCCAACAATCATATGAAAAAATGCTCATCATCACTGGTCATCAGAGAGATGCAAATCAAAACCACATTGAGATACCATCTCACGCCAGTTAGAATGGCGATCATTAACAAATCTGGAGACAACAGATGCTGGAGAGGATGTGGAGAAAAAGGAACACTTTTACACTGTTAGTGGGAGTGTAAATTAGTCCAACCATTGTGGAAGACAGTGTGGCGATTCCTCAAGGCCTTAGAAATAGAAATTCCATTTGACCCAGCAATCCCATTACTGGGTATATATCCAAAAGACTATAAATCGATCTACTATAAGGACACATGCACACGAATGTTCATTGCAGCACTGTTTACAATAGCAAAGACCTGGAATCAACCCAAATGCCCATTGATAATAGACTGGATTGGAAAAATGTGGCACATATACACCATGGAATATTATGCAGCAATCAGAAATGATGAGTTTGTGTCGTTTGTAGGGACATGGATGAATCTGGAGAACGTCATCCTCAGCAAACTGACACAAGAACAGAAAATGAAACACCGCATATTCTCACTCATAGGTGGGTGATGAAAAATGAGAACACATGGACACAGAAAGGGGAGTACTAAACACTGGGGTCTATTGGGGGGAAAAGGGGAGGGCCAGTGGGAGGGGGAGTTGGGGAGGGATAGCCTGGGGAGAAATGCCAAATGTGGGTGACGGGGAGAAGGAAAGAAAAGCACACTGCCATGTGTGTTCCTACGCAACTGTCTTACATGCTCTGCTCATGTACCCCAAAACCTAAAATCCAATAAAAAAAAAAAAAAAAAACTTTCAGTCCTGGCCTGGGGGCTCCATGGCTGTGCCCTGCGGCCCAACCCACCAGAGAAGGACCCTTGGGCGCTCTGGACCTGATTCCAAGGTTCAGGAGCTACTTAGGTGCTCTGTTCCCAAGACCTCTGTCCCAGTGGCAAAACCCCAGACATACCTGGTCTCAGAGCCATTGATGGAGGGATGGTCAGAGGTCCCCTCTGGAGAGTAATCAGAACTAAGAAGGACACAAAGAAGACAGTGATTGGCCAGAGGACCAGAATAGAGAATGGGATAAGGTCCCCAAAGTGTGAAAGGAATGGGAGAGGGACCAGAGGCAGCTCCTAAGGATCCCTCAGGTTGACGGTAGCTGAGGCCTGAGATCTCTGCAACCACTTGAAGTCAAGTCTGGCACTGTCCTCTCCATGGTGGTGGGAGGCAAGGAGCAGGAGGGCTGGGACATGTGTTCAAGGTCTTCCATATGGACTCTCCTCTGGGGACACCCACCCATCATCGTGAGAACATGGAGATCTTCCTGATCACATCAGATGGTGCATGTTTCTTTCCTTAGGCGAGAGTGGACTCTGAAGGTAGTGTCTCATTAGCCCAGGACCAGGAGATCAGTCCCCAAAGTCAGGCCTCCCTGGTTTCCCCTTCCCTGAATCTGAGGCTCCCAAGCTACCTGGTGACCCCTCTTATCTCCCCCCACAGGGGGTTCCAACCTACCTGTGCTTGTTGGGAGTCTGGTGAGGGTCCACACAGGAGATGTGGTTGGGGCTAAAGAGAAAAGACAGCAGAGAGTGACTCTCCAGGGGTCCAGAGGGGAATGGGGTCTACCTCATACATGAGAGGAGGTAGAGGGCTCAGAGGCAGACCCTCAGGATGTCTTAGGTCAGGAGTGGCCTGTGCCTAAGATCTGTGTGCCAGAGCTGTCAGTGTGTGTGCATGAAAAGAAGAGATGTGGGTGTGCCTGTGTAACACAAAGAGAGACTCAGAGTGACAGAGAGATGGTGTGTCTGTCCAGGGACCTCTGGGGGTATCTTGCCAACAGTTGGGGCCAGGATGCGCAGGGTGAAGCAGAGGTGAGAGGCCATGTCTGGGGACAGGATCTTTGCTCCCCTCGGACCAGAGCAGAAGACCTGACAGGATGGGGGATGACAGAGGCATGGGAGGGGGGATGACATTTCCTTCCCATCCCTGTAGGGTGGCACAGGGGAATTTTCTCAAGTAAAGAGCTCACCTGGAGATACCACCAGGCTGATGTTTCTGAGAACAGTGATGATGTTTTTGGAAGTGTGTAGATTCCACACCAGTAAGATCCTAGTCATTCTGTGTCAGTTGATTCACGGTGACATTGAAGAAACCAGCGTTGGGCTCATCTGAGATTTTGTACCGAGACTGCTGAATTGCTGTCTGGGTCTTGGAGGTGGTGACCAATAAGGTACACGTATTTGGAGATGTCTGCTCACACCAGGATTTGGGCTGATAGGGCCCTGTCTTGGGTGAGTACCAGCATTGCAGGAAGAGAGTCTGTCCTGAGTGTCTGTGAAGTTCTTCAGGCACAGCACCCTTTACCCAGGAACCTGCAGAAAGAGACCCAGGTCAGAGCTGTGGAGGAACCCAACCTCCCCTCTCACAAACTGGGAAAGGGGAGAGGGAACTAATTCTGATGCCCACGTCCGGAAGAAGGTTCCCAAATTCTGTCCTCTGGTCAGAGAGACACGCTGCTCCCTGGCCCCACTCATTCTTCATTACTCTCCTTACCCTCCCTGCCCTCTTTCCCTCCATGGCACCTGAGGCCAGTAGCAGCAGCAGCACAGGTGGTAGCAGCAGGTGTGGACCCCCGCAGGCCATACCAGATCAAATCTGTCTCTAACAGTGGAGAGGAGAAAAGGGGGAACCCTCTGAGAAGAGGGAGTCAGATGCTGGGTCGGATTCTGGCCCAGGTTCCCAGTGTCTCTGAGCTGGCACAACTGAAGAAGGTCAATGCCTTGCTGGGGAAGTGACTGGCCTGGGAGGGTGGGCTCTGCAGACCAGGGGAGGAGGGGCATCCAGGCCTGGACAGCAGCCATCACCTATAGGATCTGTGTCTGGGCCTGGGCACCTCAGTGCTGCCCGTGTTGCTCTGCTGCCTTTCTCTGAACTTCTCCCTGTGTCTGCTGCTTTAGGCCCAGCCGGTCATGCTTCTCCTCTGTTGCTAGGGGCAGCTCTCAGCCTGGCCAAGAATAAAGCTGCTGAACTGAGGGGTCATCCCTCTTTCCTTCTCTCTACGCATTTCCTATAGGTGGTCAGGGTCCTTGGAGGCATGACCCGACTCCTGAGTCCTTCTGGTCTCAGCCATCGTGGCTCAATGACGAGTTTTGACCCTGGAACATTTTGTGGGGGACAGATTTTAATCCCAAGAATATTAAGATGTTCCCTGGAAATGGTGGGGCCAGGAGACCAGGGAGGTAAGAGAGTGCTGGTCAGGGAGACTTGGAGGGGAAGGCAGGCAGCAGTGGATCCATTATGGGAGCTCTGGATCATCTCAGTCAGCGCTTGTTGGGGGAACACACGAGTGGGTGAAAGAACGATGTGCGTGTAAAATGTGTAGAGGAAGAAAATGGCCAAAGTGGAGCTATCTAGCAACAAATCAGGTGGTACTGGGTTACTACCCAATGTAGATAAGAAATCTCTGGGAGTCAGCGCTGGTGTAAGTAAATGGCCACGTAAAGAACTGGGGGAGAATAGACAAACATCCCGTGTGTAAGGATTTGGCCGTATTCAGAATGCTGGTGTTCCCCCATCTCATATATTCAAACTTAGCTTTTATGTGATGGCATTAAGAGGTGAAACGTTGTGGGAATTTCTTAAGTGATGAGGGCTTCACCCTCAAGAATGACATGAATGCCCTTATAACAGAGATTGCAGGAACCAGATTTGCCCTGTCTGACACGAGAGGACAGCGTTCACACCTTCAGCCAACTGAGGATGCAGCAAGAAAGTGCCACCCTGGAAGCAGAGAGCAGCCCTGAGCAGATGCCAAATCCACTGACACCTTGATCTCTGACTTCCCAGCCTGCAGAACTTTGAGAAAGATGTTTCTATGACTTCTCAAGTCCCATTCTAAGGCATCTTCTCATAGCAGCCTGAAAGGACTGAGAGAGATTGCAAACAACACTTACATGTATTCTGCCCTCAGGAAGAGAGCATAAGTGCCACTGCTTAAGCATGGGCTGTGCAGGTGACTTTCCTCCAGAGAACAGCATGCAGAAGGCAGAGAAGAGTAACTCCACAGTGGGGAAACCTGCCACTCATGGTGTCAGCCAGGCGACCAACGTGCAGACCCACAGAGATAACTCAGGTCGTTAGAATGTGGCATTGACTTGACGTGATGACAAGGGCAATTAGCTGTGCAGTCTCCTTTCCCAAAGCTTCTAGCCCCACGAGAAAAACATCAAACCAATTCCACATGAGGGACAATCTACCAAATACCTGAGCAGTATTCCTCAAAACCGCCAAGACCATCAAAAGTAAGAAATTCTCAGAAGCTGCTGTGGGTAAGAGTAGTCTAAGCAGACACGAAGATGAAAAGCAAGGTGGCGTCCTAGGTGGGACCCTGGAGCGCACAAAGTACACGAGGTAAAAGCCAGGGAAACTGAATGAAGTAAGAACTTCAGCTCACAACATCTACCCCAGAAACAGAGGAGAATGACTTCAGCACGGGCGGGGGATCGGACAGACTGGGTAGGTATTGTTGAAGACACACAATTTAAGGTAGAAAAGACAAGTTCAGACATCTATGGTACAGTATGGTGACAGGAGTTCATAACTGTGTATTGCACACTTGAAAATGACAAAGAGAATAGTTTTTTTTCTTACATAAAATAGAAACTAACTTTATTTTTCTGGAACAAGCAGGAACTGAATACCGGGTCAGCAACTTTCCTGACAGAGGCTGCTGGGAAAACACAAAACCGCACAGAGGATGACTTAGGTTGAAGAGGAAGCACTGACGTCCCTCCGGGGTGGCTGTCCCTTGGTCTCCTTCCAACCCTGAGGACATAGGCCCTGGTACCCCCCAGAGAATGGTCTGGCACTCATTGCTTACTGAGCCACCTCAGCCTATTTCCATGCATAAGATCTCGAGACCAGCCGAGTCCCATATGAATTCAGTGTGTGGTCACAAGTTGCATTGTGCCTGACACCCCAGCTCCCTGCCAGGCGTTCCCTGGAAGAGGGCCCAGTCTGTGAGGTCCCACCAGTTGCTAATCTACCTCTCTTTGTGGCCAACACATCCTCTCCTCCCTGCCCAGGTCAAGCCTGGTTTCCTCCCAGCCGGGTCACCTAGGGCAGGGCCTGGGGGTCCACTCCAGCCACAGGTCTGACCCAGGAATGAAGCCAGAGGCAGGTCACACCTAGAGCCTGCTGGGGCAGCCCCCAGTACTGTCTTCACTGGGCTCCTTCCTGCATCTTGACTGGGGCATTGGCGGCTGAACCAATGTGTTCGGGGACAGCGCTGGTGCCAGAGGGACGGGGAAGGCAGGGCTCCCAGGCTCCTGCTGCCTTGGCTATGCTCTGGCTCTGGGAGCAGGAGGTCCTCCAGGCCTGTATGAGGACATCTCCCCATCCTGGTGGATGGACAGTCTCAAGTGATTTCCTCAGGCAGACCCTCTGGCTCTCTAGACACATCTCAGTGCCTACTGTGGTGGGCAGGGTGACAAAAGCCCGGAAGGTGGCAGCCAGCCTGCTCCACATTCCAGTGGAACATCTCCAGTACTTTGTGGCACTCCCTTCTGTGCCGTGAACCCAGCCCAAAGGCCTGCTACACCTTCAGATACTGGGCAGCCCTCTGCATGCTCCAACCATGGCTCTGCAGGGTTGTCTGGCACTCCTCTGTGGTCATCCCACTCACCATGGCCTGCAGCACCTGAATCTTGTCTGCTGGCTGACCCCTTTTTGGCTCATCCCCATGGCAGCCCTTCTGTGGCACCAAGCAGTGGCCCTCAGGACTGGTGGCCGGGCCCCTGGATTGCTGTTGGTGGTGAGGAAGTTGGCCTTGGCGTTTGAGGCAGCCTCAGGTATCAGTTGAATGGTGGCAGTGGGGACCTTGGTGCTGGATGGGGGCAACAGCAGGGCCACAGGCAGGAAATGCCAGTTTCTCAGGGCTCTGTGTCTCATGTAGGAAGCACTGGTAGTACTCAGATAGGGCAGCCGCTTGGGCAGCAGGTAATAGTGGGTGCTGCTGACTTTCTTGCCATCCCAGATGATGGGCAGTATGCATGGACTGGCCCATGGACCAGGTGCCTGGATCACCTGGGTTGTGGTGTCCTTAGGTGCTGAGGCAAAGCTTTGGGTGGTGAGAGTAGTTTTTAAGCATTCTCACCACAAAAAATTAAGTGTATGTGGTAACACTTGATTTAGCCATTTCACGATTAATGCACACATCAAACCATGTCACCATCATGACAAATATGAGTTCTACTCATCAGTCTTGTAAAATCATAATAGTAATGTATCAGTATTGGTTCATTAGTTGTGAGAACTGTGGGATACTAGTGGACTATGTTAATAATAGAAGACGTTGGGCATAGCGCATCAGGGAACTATGCAATACCTACACAGCTCTTCTGCGAATCTGAAAGCACTCTAAGTGTAAAAGATTAACACGTACAGAAACAATTTACACAAAGCATAATTAATGATTTCTTGATACATAAAAAACAGCAAAGTTTTAGGAAATCTTAGTGTGGCTAGGTGTAAAGCACAGTGACTGCAGCTAGTGAAGGGATTCCATCATTCCAGCTCCGCTTGCCACTCTGAGAGGAGTTTGCATAAACTCTTACTAAAATGGCCCTTGTCTTCCATTCATTCCCCCATAGATTTCCTAGTTGCTTCCAAGGATATATTGCCCCTTGAAGCTGAAACTCCCTTTCCAATGGTAAAATGGTCTGTGAACCCCTGGTTCCGTTTGGGTGTCTTTTTTTTTTTCTGTGAATGCCCATGCACATAAATCTTAATAAAAATTGTATGCTTGATCAAGACCATCGTGGTCAACAAGGTGAAACCCTGTCTCTATTAAAAACACAAAAAATTAGCTGGGCACGGTGGCATGTGCCTGTAATCCCTGCTACTCAGGAGGCTGAGGCAGGAGAATTGCCTGAACCCAGGAGGCGGAGGTTGCAGTGAGCCAAGATCGTGCCATTGCACTGCAGCCTGGGTAACAAGAGTGAAACTCCGTCTTAAAAAAAAAAAAAATTGTATGCTTTTCCTTCTATTGATCTGCTTCTTGTTAGTTTCATTCACAGCCTCTCAGATTAAGATCTGTGGGGGATAGATCAGAATGGTGGGAAAATCTATAGGGAAAGGACACAAACCTTCTGAAAGGTCCGAAGGTTCTGCAGAGCCCCAGGAGAGAATAGCTGAAGGCAGCTGTTCTATAACCCTGAGGCAGAGGACAAGAGCAGGTACAAGGGAGTGTGGGGGAATTTATCTTAAACAGGCTCGTTTACTTACGTTGGTCAGGAACTGACCATTGATCATCCACAAACATAACATTCCCTGAAAGGGAAACAATAAATGTTACCTACAGGTTGTGTTTGCTCCAGGTTTTCAGCATTGTGCCTGCACTGAATAAAAGCAAGCTGGGGCTGCTCACTGGCCACTAGAGCCAGGCAGTTACCTAGCTGCTCTTATACTGCATACCTGTGTCTGAGTACTCATTTCATCTGTCAGCCAGGGTCTGTGGGACAGACCAGGCAGTAATGTCCCTGTTGTCATTTCTGATTGTGTTTTTTTGGATTTTCTCTCTTTTTTATTTTTTACTCTAGCTAGTGGTCTATCAGTCTTATCTATTATTTCAAAACACCAGCTCCTCAATTTGTTCACCTCTTGTATAGTCTTTTGCGTCTCAATTTCCTTCAGTGCAGTTCTGATTTTGGTTATTTCTTGTCTTCTGCTAACTTTGGGGGTGGTTTGCTGTTGTTTTTC